ATTTAATTCACAATTCACTTTTTCTGATTCAAAGTGAACACGAGTGCCCTAATCCCCTAATGGGAATTAATTGCATGTTTCAGTGCTTAACTCTGATCCTTTCTCAATCCCCACTGGGACAAGTTTCTTCCTGAAGGATCTGTATTTGTTATTCAAGACACAATCTGAAAAGTAATGATTTTTTTTCTCTCTCCCAAAAGGGAACCAGAGCAACAGAATATTAATGTTCTTTCCTTTGTAGGCAAACAGGCCGGTGGACAGTTTCAACCCTATTTTATGTCACGAAGAGTAGGCACACAAAGCTAAATGTGGATGAAATTGGGGTGATAATTTGAAGACTGCATCTGAAAAAAGGACATGGTTTTGAGGGGTCTTGTATATTTTTGGGGGGAGGGGAACTCATCTTTTTTTCCAGTTAAAAACAAACCAACCAACCTAAGTCCTGATCTAAAGATTTTTTTGGTGTGCATGTGTTTTTTAGTTATGCCCCTTTGACCAGTAAAAATTCTTTTTTTCTTCAAGGATAAAAAAGTATTTTTCGTAGAACTACTTCGTCATTTTTGATAAACCTCCAAGGTGGTGTTCCCTCCATACTAAAAATGGTACAGCAGGAGCTGAGACATAGAGAATTTCCTAACGTCACCATTTTTTTCTTATTTTTATTCCCCCCCTCCCCCCACCCTCCAAGAATCTTCAAATGGCATATAAGGGTATTCTTCTTTTTCTCTCCGCATGTTATCTTCACAGCAATCTTGTGAGGTAGGTTAGAGCTGACAGCTAAGTACACTGCAGGAGGCGTTTTGAAGTTGGGGAAGCCGATAGCCCCATATGCATTGTTGTGAAAAAGAACATGCACCCCTCCCCCTCACAAAACGTACTGAAACATACAGATGCTAATTTTATGTCTTAAGAAATGAAAAAGTGAATTATATCTTATAGTGGAAGAGAGTGTGAGCAGCTGTCCAAGTGTTCACCAATGATGGTCAGCTTCATGGCTCTTGCTTTCCCTTCTTGGCAGAATCCTTGTGGTTATTTATGTGCGTATAACAGAAGATGTTGATGTATAATTGTGACATCCTAATGAGGGGCTGTGCTTCTGCGAGTTGCAGTCCAAGAACATCTGGAGGCCCAAGGCTGGGGACCACTGTCCTAAGACACAGGGGGCTCTTACTGCCCAGCACTTGATATTCACTGTACTACACACTTTCTGATTTTGTGGCTGAAGTGGGAAATGAAACTGAGACCTGCTGGATTGGAGTACAACAGGAATTTCCGCTTAGTATGTCACAACGGAGGCAGCCACCTACTGACACTTTCTGCGCATGACTCATTACTCATGACTGTGGCTTTGCTGCCGTCTATGCTGTCACCCATGGAGGGCACCTCCACCAAAGTGTCTTAGCTTCTGCTAAAGACTCCTGGGAATCACAGTGTGTGGGTACTAAGAATTTTTTATCCTTAAGGGAGGGAATCTATGACTTTCCTGAGCACTAGCCAGCTTGGAAAGGTTACTTTTTCAGATTCCAGAGATAAACATGTAACATCCAGAAGACTAAGTAGTTTTTCTTTTTCATAATCTTTCATGTGTCCAAGCACACTGCTGCAGATGAACAGAGTGGTCATTTCTCTGGGTGTGGTACTCACTTGGGACACACAAAAGCTTATGAAACATAAAAATAAATAAGTCCTATAGGTCCTCCATGGCGATTTCTGCTTTTCTTTTACAACAGACTAACATGGGTACCTTCCACATTGCTTTTTAGACTCTACTTCCGGAATACCCTACCAGGCAAGGGATTGGTTTGGGCATATCAAGAGTTGTTTTCCAGAAATGTCTGATAGGCCTCTGCTCCAAAGAATGGCCATCACCTCTTCCACATACAACTGCAATCCCAGTGTTCTCTTGGGAATGGAATTATGGGTCCTCTTTTTGGGAGAAAGGGGGCCTATTAATAAAACAAACAAATAAATAGAACAAAATATAATTAAACCAGATGCAAGAAAAACCGAAACAAATCAGAAACAAAACCACTGTGGCAACTTCTAGGACTAACCAATTTATTCCAGTTTGAGTTTTCATGGATTACAGTCCACTTCTTGAGACAATAATCCAGTAATTATTGAGACAAGAATACTGGACCACAGGTTCACAACCTGGTGCAACAACTTCTGCATTTTTTGTTGCTGCTGAAGCAGACTAACATGAATACCTCTCTGAAAATGTTAACCAAATGAAGTTTGTAATGCAGGTATGCACCAAGGGTGACCAGATTGTCTTCCTCTTTCTACATCTGCTGAAACTAGATAATTTCAGGGACTCTTGTCCTAATGCATATTGGTAGAAGAACTGACTTGAGAGCAGATTGTTGGTTAGGTTTCTCTGTAGGAATCCTTGCCACTTCAGACCCTGGAGATACAACCAGCAATTCATTGAACAGCTAAGGGTAGGGTTGTGTGTGTGTTTTTAAAGCCTATTAGTTGCTATTTTATATTCTCTAAACATGCAAGAGTGGAATGTGCTAACAGTTTTAATTTTAAAAAATCCTTTGCATTGCAAAGGGTTTTTTAAAAAATGTATGTAGGGGGGGGGGAGAAAGCTTTCAGATAAAGGGGAGGTGTATTTTAAAGTTTTCCTGCTCCTTCAGCACCATTTAATGACCCTCTGCTTAAATTCAGAGCCAGGTGTCCCATCCACTTCTGAAGATTTCTCTGCAGCTGGCAGTAAGAGGCCAAACTGCTGTGTTGGGGGAAACCAGACAGTTTTCTCCTAGCGGTTCAGTGACTGACAGCAAAAATTTGGGAAAGCATCAGATGTTCTGGGCTTTAGTTAGAACCATCACAAAAGGAGGGAGATGCAGCTGGGAGGCAGAATACTTTGAACAGTAGCCAAGGAATAACACGGGAAGCATTTCATTATTGCAGTAAATAGGAGCCTCTTTTGCCTTGTACTGAGAAAGCTGTTTCTAAAATGGCACATCAAAATAGTCAGCCAGGTGTATTGCAAAAGACTGGCTCCACATTTCTGCCCAAAGCTAGAGACACAATCTGTGACAGATGCCTCCTGATGAGAAACATCAAATATGTTGGAAACAGTGTTATGGAACGAAGGCTAGGTCTTCAGCAGGGTATGAGCTGCTCTTGTACGTCTCTTGCTGAAGGTAGCAGATTTGACTAGCATGGAATTTGAAATCCAACCTCTTCTTTACAAAGGAAAGAAAAAAATACAAAGAATTGTATGTTTTGCTCATAGTATTCAATTACAAGCAATGTCAAAAACTGATTTGAAAAATTATATCCTTCAACGTGGACTAATATATTTTGCATAATTTACCAGACACAATAGCGTATTTTTTCCAGTCAAGGAGAGGCATACCCACCCCTGCCCCAGGCTTTCATAGTTTTTCAATGTTCGGATTATCACTTACATGATTAAATTCAGGAAGCTGTGGTCACAAAACATTTGAGCACATTAAATGCTCCAGACTGCATGTGGTGGGTATATTTGCTTAGGTCATCTAAGTATTGTCCCCCAAATAGTTGCAGTAAAAAATACTAGTCTGAACACAGGTTATTATTTCCTTCCTGAATCCCCACCCCAAATGTTTATAAGTTGGTGTGAAGAATGAGCGGTCCTCCACATGCTATTGGAGTGAAATTCCCATCTTCTGCTATTGATTATGTTGCCCTGGGGCTGACTGGAGGTGCAGTCTAAAAATACCCTAACCCAGTGGTCTCCAACCTTTTCCCCATTGCGGACCAGTTGGGGGTGTGTGACACACTTGCGGGGGGTGGAGCGTGCTCACACGCATGCGCGCTGGGGCCAGGAGATCTGTGTCCACAACCTGCTGCTGCCTAGGCCACGGACCGCTGCCAGGTCACGGAACTGGGGGTTGGGGACCTTTGCCCTAACCTATTCCCCACCCCTCCCATTAGCTGTCAGTTGAAGAATCACTGAATGTAAAGGATACACAGCTGAACTTGACCTAAGAGGTCAAGTGGTTGTCCACAACATCAACTCTGTTTCCTCTGAAAGCACAGGATTGCTCCCTAAGAATACAGAACTTTTTTTCATTTAGCAAGATTAGATCAGTTTATACTTTAAAATTGCTCCTGTTCTGTGGGATTCGTTTCTTGAAATTTGTCTTCTTTAGTAGCTTGCTTCTGAGCCACAGTTAATATGCAATTATAGAGCCAAATACATAGTAGGGTGTATCGGTATTGTAAAGTTTGGTAATGAATACCTAATAGAGAAGGATATTCTCATATTTTTCATACAAAGGCAGGCAAGGCCCTTTGTGTTCAAGCAAGCTTCTGGCAGACGGCTCTCTTAAGTGGGTGTGCACACTGTATTGCCATCTCAAATATTTAAAAATTGTTTTATAGTGTTTTTAGTATGATTGTTTAACTGCATTTTATTACATTCTGGCCTAACCTAGGTTCCATTTAGGGCGAAAGGTGGGATGTCAATAAAACAAATACAAATTAAATAATTGGATGCACACAAGGAAAAAAAACCAAGGCTGTACACAGTTCAAGTACTTCCACATAGTATGCTGCTAAAAACAAAGATCGTGAAAATGACTGAAACAATCTGTTTTAAATGGACACTTCCACACTTACATACATCACTGTGAGGAGGAGCTGAGCGGTGTAACTCAACCCTTTCTTAACCAGGCGGGCTGCAGTCGAAAGGGTTATGTCCCACTCTTGTATCTAATAGAAGTGGAACTGCTCTGCTGGATCCCATCCAGTCATCATCATTGTTACTGTACAGTATTTATTTCTCAGCACTGCTGGTGCATGGTGGTGGACCAAAGGGATATGTCCAAGCCTAAACCATAGAAGTCAATTACTGTTTGCAGACTCAAAAGGAGTGTCAAAGGCAGCTTGTATTCCTTGATTTGTTTTTTGATACCTGTGAACCATATTGCCACCTTTGAAGAGCTGCGTTGATGCAAAATGTAGTGGTTGTTATTACAACTTATTTTCATTTCTTTCAGTTTCTTTGGCTGGAAGAATGGTCCATGTCTTTGTCTATGGCACCCTCAAGAAAGGCCAGCCAAACTACGTACGCATGATCAATGGTGCTCATGGAACAGCCAGATATCTGGGCAGGGGATTTACTGTGGAGAAATATCCCCTGGTGATTGCAGGAAAATACAACATTCCTTATTTACTGAACAAGCCAGGAACAGGGCACCGTGTCAGTGGAGAGATTTATTCCATCGATGACCAGATGTTGCAATTCCTTGATGAGTTTGAGGGTTGCCCAGACATGTATCAGCGTACTCCAGTGAGAATTGAAGTGGTGGAGTGGGAAGGTAAAAGTAGTACACCTGAGGGGAGACCAGCTGTTAACAGTATTATGGAATGCTACGTGTACAGCACCACTACTTATCAGCCTGAGTGGATAAATCTCCCTTACTATGACAGCTACGATTCCTTCGGGAAGCACGGGTGTCAATATGTGCTACGGGAAAGCAGAGATTAAAACTGGAAGGCAGTTTTTTTAAATAACATGAATCAAATCTCCACCATTTTCTATGGAAAGGAAGCATTAACTTTTCTGATTTGAATACAGTTGTTTTTAAACATCAATCCCATTGGTTATCTAAGTTCACAGCTGTAGATCTGTTTCTACAACTTACACAGTTTCTTTTATGCAATCATAAATTAGGATTCTGGCTACTTATTTTGTAGTCCAATCAGGTCTACAAATTTTAACTTGCCCAGCCACACATGGTAAATAATGGATAAAGCGTATTTCATTCTCTTGCTGTAATGCTCTGTCTAGAACAACATTTTGTGTATGTACAAGGCAAAGAGAAGTGTTGCTTCATTTTTAGCACTCTGCTCGGGAGGGGAAAAATCCACCACCTACATGGAGTTGAGCCAGAAAATGGGTCTGGGAAGAAGTCCATTTATCATCCAGTGAGACAAATGAATTCACTTAAGGAATCTGAGCAGCACAGGGATGTCCTCAAGTCCAATTCGGTAAGATTCAGAAGATATAAAGTGGCTAAGGATGCAACATGAATTTTCAAGATCACCCACCTCTCACAAGATACAACATTTTTCTAAAGTGGTGAGCTGACCATTACTGTGCAACAAGAAGGATGGAACCTGAAGGTAGCCTAGTAGCTGTTTGGATTGTTGTTACTGTTTTGCCAGAAATCATCACCACAAAATGTATTGTGCTACGTGCAAAGAAAGTTCTGACTAATCCGCTGAACTGGGAGAAAGTAAATGAATTATATTATTATATGCCTCACATAATTGAGCACAAATGATACATCCCCACCACCACCTGCTTTCTCATTCCTTTCTGGGCAGGCAAGATTCTGTTCATGAATGAGTTTTAGTGTAAGTTGCCCTTTTAAATCTGCTTCAACTTCCCAAGAAAGCAACAAATACTGTGTATTGCTAACTGCTGATGTGGAGGTAAATTCTGAATGAATATGGGCTAGCCCCTCTTTCCAGTTAGAGCTCAGGATATTACCATATTTTTCCATGTATACGATCTCCCAGTATATAAAACAACCCCCCTAAACAGCCCCCTATATAAAGCAACCCCCAGTATATAAAACAACCCCGTTGCTGGAGGTGGAGGAGCAGTTAATGGGCAACTGCTCCCTCCACCTCCGTCTCTCCTCCTGCTGCTGCTGCCTCCCCCACCGCCCGATCACCTCCTCCAGTGCGACTGCTTTGCCTCCGGCTCCTGCTGCTCCTGCCACCGGAGGGGACAAGGTGGACATGAGCTGGAGGTGAGCCCCATCAGTCCCACTGGGGGAGGTGATTGGGTGGGCAGGGGAGGCAGCAGCAAGAGGCACCTGAGCGCTTGGGATTGCTCCTTTGCCTCCGCAGGCATCTCCTGTTGCTGCTGCTGCTGCTGCTGCCTCTGCCACTAGAGGGGACAATTCGTGAGCCCTGGAGGAGGCAATTGGGCAGCGGCGATGGCAGCAGCAAGAGGTGCCCAAGTGCACGTGTGAGTGCTCCTTTGCCTCTGCCTCCTTCCACGTATAAAACAACCCCCAATTCGTCCTCTGATTATTTTAGGAAAAAGTGTCATTTTATACATGGAAAAATACGGTACCTATGGAAAAGGCAGAAGCTGGGGTGTATTTAGGTGCTGTTCAAAAAGATCACCATACCTGTGAAGCAGCAGTTTTCTGAACTTATTAGATTCTTAAATTTCTTAGCTGTATCATGGATGTGTAGGGCAACATGTGATATTGGTTATATATACAACACTACCCCTAGATTTCTGTACTTTATATCTGTACCCATAAATATGCTCTATGATTGTCATTTTGTTGTCTCTGTTCCTCTGTCTTTTCATCTGTTTAATTTTTGTTATGTTTCCAAGTAATACATAAGGCTGAACAGGAATTTGACAGGGATGCACTACTACATTGGTAATGGTAGAAGCTTTTCAACAAATTATGAGTGTTATCAACAACTACTGTAAATTATGAGACAATTTGTAAAATAAATTCAATAATTTACTTTTTTTCTGTTCCTTAAAAGATCACTAATGTAGTGTCCTACAGCTCTTCTGACTCATACATAATCACTTTCACTGCAGTGGTTCCCAAAGTGTGGGCTGTGGCTCTGTGGGGGTGCCAGGAAACCAACTCAGGGGTGCCATGCAATTCTCTCCTCCTTTTCCCCCTCCCTCACCCATAGTATACTACAGCACTTACTTCTTGCTGAAAGACTGGGTTTCCTGACCTGATCGCAAAGGAGCCTTACATCCCGCGCCCGTGCAAATAAATAAATAAATAAATAAATAAATAAATAAATAAATAAATAAATAAAAATAAAGGGGAAAAAAGCAGCTTCTTTGTTTTTCCGGAAGCTTCTTCCCTTGGAGAAGTCAGGCCATGAGTTCTTCCCTTAAGCTATCTGTATACAGCATGGTCTCCATCTAGTGGCCAGTCCTAGTAATACACCTTGGGTTTATTATTTTTATTTTATTGTTTTCAGGCAGAGGATAAGTGAAACCACAGGCGCCACAGTTTGTAGGATTGGAGCTCTGTGTAAACTAAGGTCTTTGCCTCTGCCCTCCTGACTCCTGCAGACTGTCATCTGGATAACTACAGCATTTACCAGGGGAAACCTGATTTGATAAACTGCAAATACAGAGCAGATCATGGCGTATTTTCCCTGCTGTAGAGACAAACTTAAAATCTTTCATGGGCAAATGGTCTTAAATGTACAATATAAAAGTTCTGAGCTACACACAGTTCTTAATTCAGGGCTGGCTGTTCAAGAAAGAATATAGCTGTTTCTCAGCCTTAGCATTTACACCCAGGTCATCTTCACATGCAGACGGATGTCAAGGGAAAAAAAAGAGGTAGTATTTACAGATTCACTAGATTAAAGTCAGCAGGTTAGCTCTCACACTATGTATGTACAGTGGGGCCTCGCTAGACGATTACCCTGCAAAACGGGTGATCCACAGGATGATGCCTTTTTGCGATCGCTAAATGGTTTTTCCTATGGGGGATTTCGCTGGTCTGTGCTTCGCAAACCGTTTTTCGCAAGACGACAATTTTTACAGCTAATCGGTGCTTCCGTTTTTCTCAAGACCGTGATTTTACAGCTGATGGTGCTTTGCAAAATGCCTTCCCTATGGGCGATTTTCGCTGGACGATGATGATTTCCCCCCATTGGAACGCCTTAAACGGGTTTCAATGCATTCCAATGGGGAAATGCTTTTCGCAAGACGATGTTTTCGCAAAACAGCAATTTCAATGGAATGAATTAACATTGTCTTGTGGGGCACCACTGTATGAGTCTTTTAACATCTTCCATGGTTGAGTATGTTAGTGCCAGCAGTAGCCTTTCCATCACCAGCACCATTCAAAAGGTTCCAAGATTTTGAAAATCCAAAAAGAAAAAATTCATTGAGAGGCACTAGCACACCACACATTGAAAGATTTTGTTGTTACTCTTCGTTGGTTGGTTGGTGGTAAGTAGAAATTGTATGCTAAACCTTGCTATGTTGATTTTTCTGTCTGCAGGAAAACCTTCCATACAAGAGCATTCAAAAATGACCATCTTGCCAGAAGCACGAAATGGGCAACCCGTTCCGTTGTATGTGTAGATCCAGACATAGATTATTCATATACCAAAAATTTTAATTTTGTTGTCTTATTCCATACTAGCAGAAATACTGAAGGAGAAGTACAAATTTCATATATACAGTGATTTATAAAGGAGTGAAATCTGAGATCGAGGGGCTATTTTAATTTATCTCTATGCCAGGTACACCATTTGGCCCCTTGTCGCTTATGCAGTATAGATTACTTTTCAAAATACCATAGCTGTGCCAACATTCATTTGAATTTGTCAATGAACGTACAAAGAGGATGTCGCCAACTGTGCTAGGGTGTGGAAGAAATGGTTTCATTCCAGCTCCACAAGCTCATCTCCTTCCCCAACAGTTTCACCAGCTTTGCAGTACACAGCTTTCACCTGCAGAACACAGAAATAAATCACCTGACTGATTACGAAAACAGGCCAAACAACATTTTGTTTGGATTGCATTTGACTTTACAAAAAGAACAAATCACGGACCCCTCCTTGAAAGATCTGTAAACCTATAAAGCAACTTAAATCTAAAAGGATCTTCCGTAGTGCTTTTGTTTTTTTTAAATTAATTTACCTGAGTCACACATGTAAGGATATTTATATTAAACAGGTTTTGTTCTTGTTTTTTGTCAAAATGTGGCAACTTCTTCAACTGAGAGCACAGGTGGCTAACTGTGGCTCTCCAAATAGAATTGGTATTCCCAGCAGCCTCAGCCAACATAGTCAATGTTGTGGGAGATGCAGTTTAAAAATATCTGGAAGACCACCCTTGGTAAGGGCCCCAAGAGTAGAGGTGTTTTTGATGCTGGCTTTGTTTGTTGCTTTCTTTTGCTACAGTACACTGTTTCATAATTTTACTGCAAATCATTTTTGGATGTGTGCCTCAAAGGGCAGTGTGTATCTGACTAGATCCATGATGATTCCTAAAGAATGGGAAAGCACTGTAGCTCAGTGTGCAAACACAAGAGGGAAGGCTACTAGTCTGTGCAAACCAGTGACTCAGACTTGGGAGATCCAAGTTCTAGCCCACACTGATCTGTGAGCCTTACTGGTTGACCTTGGACCACTAAGTCTCTTTTAGCCATACTTTCCTCATGGAGCTGTTGTGCAGATAAGGTAGAATGAGGGTAGCCATTTTTACCGGCTTGAGTTCACTTGAGGAAAGGCAGAATTCAGGTGCAACAAATAAACTATCGTCAACCCTAGCCAGTAAGGGTTGGGAAAGGCTGGGTTAGAGATATTTACAGAAAAAGACTGAGTCGAGTCACTGATATTTACTTGTTGTAAGCAGAACAGAGGGAGAAAAAGACCAATCATGTCTGCAAGAGATGCCCTCTGGTTGTGCTGGTGGCATGTCCACTGGACACATAATTCTTAGGTACATGAAGAACTATACTGCTAGGAGCTGGGACTGAGCTTTTGGAAAGGGTATACTGCTGCTTTCCCCTCTGCTCTTCTCTAAAAAGGAACACCACCACCCTAGTATGTGGACAGAGAGTCCCAAGGAAAGCAGCAGTTGACTTCTAGCTTATCATAGTTCTCGCCAAGACACCACCTCCCAAGCAGCCTCCACTCACATTGGCTTAGTCATTCCCTACTAGGAGATTAGAGCAGCTACCCAAGGTGAAAAAATTGAAGGAAATTGTTTAAAGCATATTCAAAGGAACTAAGCTATTAAGAGGTTGAGTCCAGCTTAACTCTCAGGCAGAACCAATCTATGAATATCATTTGACTATGTTCCAGAGGAAGAAATTGTTTTGATGTTAAGAAAGCACTCCACAGAGTTCTTGAGAACTACTGGTGTCAGTGGAAGTTTTCTCTCCTGCAACTTTAATTACCATGTGGAAAGGAAGTGATTTTTAGAAAGGATGCAGCTGGGTAACTTTCTCTCTAAGATATGCTACCTCCTGAACATCCCTCTTTAACCTCATGAAAATGGTGCAGATGAATTGAATATTTTATTTGATGTGATTTGGAGGAAGAAATAGCTGTTTAACTAGTAATTTTGCAATTCAGACAAGTCCTGGTATTTAGCTGTAATCATGACTTTACAGATATGAAGTAGCAAATGCAAATTGTATGCAGATATGTATCCTATGTGGTTGCAACATGAATAATTTTTAAGTTCCTTCAAATTCCTCTGCTTGTGCAAAATGCAAGAATCATAACACTAAGTGGTACAATATACCAGATGGGTGGGATATAAATCAAATAAATAAATAAATAAATAAATAATGCAACCATTCATTTAAAAATTGACTGAAACTCAAATGTGCACCCGATGCAAAACCCCTACTTAAGAGAAGTAACCAGACTACCATCAACTGTTTACAACACACATATATTTTCCCAGGAACATAACCATCCAACTTAATTCCATTAATTCAGGCTGTTTATCTGCCAGAACCACATATACATACGGGAAGCTTTACAGATTACAGTACAATGTTGTTACTTATGGCAAGAGTACTCCTGGAAAAGCAGATGGCACTCCTGACTATTGTCTTACCACTGGGTTGAATGAATTAAAAAAAAACCTGTCATAGTGAAGGGGAAACAGCATTGCACTTTCTTCCAAATGAATCAATCTCATGTATAAATCCTTGCCCATATGTTGTGTCTTATAGTCCATATATCCAATTTTGCATGGTGTATTTTGAAGGTTTCTAGTGTGGAACTGGAAACACCTAACTATAGTCAAATTGTAGAATTACAAACTCATGGACTGTGGTTTTTATTATCAGAACCCTGTGCCTGCATTTTCTCCATAGGCGTACTTAACATATGCCTAAATATATAATCCAATATACACACACATCTATGTAAAATTGGGTTGAATCCCAATTTTATTGTAGATGACTTACAAAATCGGGGCACTTAAGTTCTGATTAACCCAAGTGTCATTTATTTCTATACTCTACATATGACAATGTCTTGATCCAACATTTTGTACTGGATTGTGTAATAGACCCAAATCTGAAAAAAAGGATTGCAGCCAAGATAAGATCCATTTTGAACAACTGATAAACATTTATGAATTGAAAATCCATAAATCACCACAGTTTCAGAACAGGATCGCACAATTCAAAATTGATGCCAATTTTAAAGATTCTAGAAGTTAAAGAGTTATATCTATTTTTATTGCTTTCTAAAATGAAGCCAGTTTCTGTTCAACTTGACAAGCACCAAAAACCTTTAGTAGTATAACTAGACATACCTTTCCAGTTTTAGCAGCAACCAAACTATTCTGCATTTTCATAGCCTCAATGACACAGATTTCTTGACCTTCTGCAACCTGGTAAAAGCAAAATATGATGCTCAATTATTTTTTTAAAGTATGAAAATATTAATTTAAATCTTTACAGAAAACAGCCTATCAAGGACACTTCATTCTCACAGATGAACTTAAAGCCACCAACAATGAAGAGCTTTAACTAACAATCTCAGCTTCCAGAATCCTGCTGGCAAAGAAAGAGGGTGAGAGCTCTGTGGGTGGAGCACTCCATGTCTGCCCCAGTGATCTCCGGCCCACAGTTATGCAAGTCAGAGAACTGTCCCACTGAATCCAATGTTAATTTCTGTTGGCACAAGAGTTCAGGGTGCATTGTACAAGTGGCAGAGAAAGAGCAATTGCATGCAGAACAGACTATTCCACATGCAATTAATAAGTAAAAAAGGGATACTGGTATATAATAAGGCTCCTATATGTTTCCTATAGGCAGGAAACCTTCTTAGTGAGAATCCTCTTCTTCTGACTCTTCTTCAAAGCTTGTTTTCTTTGTGGGGCTTTGGAATGCCTATCTTAGCCTTCACCCCAGCCACGATAATTGACCATAACTGTGGTTAGGATCCTGTCCAGGCAAGTCACTTGCATAATGGTTTCGTGAATGGCTTGACTTTTTTCTTTTTTATACAAGGGGGCATCCAGTGCATCCCTGGGAAAGCTGAAGTTTGTGTCCACAATCTGGCAATCTCTTCTTGGTGAATGGCAAGCAAGCACATTCCACTTACCGCATCAGCTTTCTGCCCCTGTGGGTCCCAATTGGGATCCCTGCATAGTCTTCCCGCACTTTTTCCTTGTCTCCCATCCCTGTTATGCTATCATGTGTGGCAAATGCACATGCAGACAAGCATACACATTTGCCTTTCAGCACATATATAAGAGTACATATAGGAAGCCACCAGAACGTTCTGACAAACAGACATATTATGAAATGGAAACCCAAGTTCATCACATGCAGTGGCACATATGCAAAGTGGTAAAATGTGGGTTGGCAAATTTTGACCCTTCTGGTGCTTTCCAAGTCCATTCCCATCAATCCTAGCTAGCACAGTCAATGTGATGAATGTTGGAGCTGCAGTCTGATGATACCTGGCCACACTCTGCACAATCCTAGCCTAAGTATCTGACCAAGGCCAATCAGTGGGAGACCTTCATTCCAAGAGGGAGTTAAGTTCTAGACATGCAGCCCAGCTCGCTGGGTGGCGGGGCAGAATGTGTAGCCTGCATAATTAACTTGTAAACCGCCCACAGAGTGCTTGAAGCACTATGGGGCGGTATATAAGCAGCACGCTCTGCTTTGCTTGAATTCTGCACTGACCTATGCATATGACAGCAGCATTGATGGTATGATGACTGGCAGAAAAGAGGAAAAAGCAAGAGTATGTGGGTAGAAATAAGACCACGGGAAAAAAGTGTTGTCCCATTTTATTTCCATTCAGAGCTTACAGTGGGCAAAATCTTGGTGCATAAAATTATTCCAGAGTAAACCCGATCTGGAACCATAAATCATGAATTGAAACTAACTGAACATTCCACCCCCCCCTTTTTTTTTCAGGTTCTGAGACTCCCTAGGGCTTCCTTTTGCCTTTGACAGCCTTAGGACTGATTAGGGGTAGGGAGCCTCTCTCTTATAGTAAAAAACTGCCACTGGATTGCTGCTACAGAGACTCCTAGCAGCGATCTGGTGGCAATTCTGGCTATTAAAAGCTCTCATTCTACCCATCCTATCCTAATGCTGTTCAAGGCTTCGCCGGGGCAAAAGAGAGCTCCAGGGAGCCTTGGAACCCAAAGGGCAGAATAGGAATTTATGCTCTTGATGCATACCCATAAAATGTTACATACAAGTTTCACCAACAGATTTTGGAAGTGCTGGTACAAAATACACACTGAATCCTGACAGTTTTCCAGAGACTTGACAAGCTCTACCTGTGATTCCACAAAGGTGTTTTAAAAATCCGTAAACATAACAGCTATAATAAATATGCAGAGTTGCGACACAGACCCCCCCTATGAGTTATAGGCCCTTTACACTGTTCCATATGTACCTTTCCTCTCTCTGTGACACATATATTTTACAGGGGTAAATGGAATTGCATTCTTTAGAGTAAAATCATGACTAAAGCCTTACAGAAAAACCAACCTGGTTAGTTCTCCACCTTAGGGGGAAACTTGTTATTTCCACAAATACTCCATGTTCAAATACTGCTACGTTACTTCTAATAATACCCAATTTGCTTAAAACAGCTTTAGTAGAAAGTGTCACTTAAGCACCCACATTTAATAATTATTCTTTATGCCAATCCTTTGTAGCTCTTCCCCACACTGTGTTGCAAAACAGCAAATCCTAAAATTAGTCCCCAATATCTCTCACTTTCCTCTTTCATTCATTCTCTTGGGCTTTGTTCACCTTCTTTCACTGCATAATTGTGTGTATCTTTTAGCCTGTCTGTATCATTTAAGCCGGAAAATGAATATCTTTGAGATCTCTAAAAATATCCTCTTTCCTAATTTAAGGATTAAGTTGGGTTAAAAAAAAAACAGTATTTTTTCAAAAGATACTGATCTGGGGAAAAAAAGCAGAAAGCCTTCGCAAACTATAGTACAGTTTGCAACAATGGCATTCAGTTCTGATTAAAGATTCTCTCTGTATTTAATAATGGATTTAATGGTGGCCTGAAATGGGGGGAAAGTATCAAATAAAACCTGCCAGATTCTTATTCAGCTGAGTCCACTGTAATCAATTACATCCTCAAGTTCTACGACTTCTAGAAAAAGCAAATTAAAAACACAAAACAAAATGCAGATTTTCATTAAAACAACTTTTCTTTTCAGAAGAAACCAAATTGAAACTGCTGAGATTAAAATTAATATGAAATAACAATAATATTTAATTTCATTGTTCAGTGACTAGGAACTAAGAAGCATTTCATTCCAAACCCCAGTGTTACACAAAGCTTTCAGTGGCTTCTTATATCAATTTTTTCCAGATTTCCATTTTAAAGTTTTAACATCTGATGTACTTGTAAAAAAAGAAAAGGGAAGCATAATTTGGGGTTAGTTGAATAGCCAACTGTTTATGCAACATTTAGGACTTGTACAAAGGCTGTGTGTGCAGTAAAGAATGTGATGAAGGGTGTCTTGAAACAAGTGTTCTTGGAAAATGGAAGGAGAGAGTTGCAGTAATCTTACACCTATTTTAGTTTTGTACAAGAGAGAAACAGGAGTATTAATTGTTCTCTTTATATTCAGAGGTACAATGAAGAAAGCTCTTGAAGAGATCTTTGTGAGTCTAGCCCACTCCCTTAATACTTTTGTGAATCATCTGATAAAGACTTAATGATTGTGACAGGATGTCTTCAATGTTAGGCTTACAAAACAGTCACAAGCCCTGCAAGTCTTTTTGATAAACCCAATCGGCACTGATGTATTTCTCCACTCTGTCTAATTGGTGTAAAGTTTGCAGATCTGAGTCTCATATCTTTCACCCAGCTTGCTGCGTCCTCTCCTTTGACACCAGGTCAAGGTTCACATTCGCATCCGATTATCAAAGTGGCATTCATTAAGCAGCAGCCTGCCTTGCACCAAAATGAGTTAGCTTGAAGGAAAGAAAGCTCGGCCCATTTACTCAGCAGTTTTTAGCATTTTAAGGAGGCCCAAATGTCACACAGTATTGCTACGTTCTGAAGAGTTTCAGACATCTCCAGCTGATGATTAATTGTGAGTGATGGGAAATAAAATCCAGTAAAGCCAGCTGCTTGCCATGGTCGGCAAAATTACTATAATGGATATAGGCTGCCAATTTTCCAGTTTTACTGGCAAGTCTTCCAAGTGTAATTAAGGGAAGTTATAAATGATATGGAAATCTATCAAGTCCCATTTATTTTCAGAGGACTCCTTCCCCAGGGACTTTTATCTTCAAGCTTATAGTTTGCTTTGTTGTGCTAATGATTTCAACCACTTTTTACTTCCATTAAAACCTCCAATATACCACTATAAGAAGTCAGATCCACTTCATTTACAAAGATTTAAAGAAACAGAAAGCTCTTAAAAGTCATTTGTTTTTTATTTCACTTTTTAGAAAAGCCCTAACTTAGGCCTTGTTTGCTTTGTGGAAACTCGCATTATGAAATGCTGCATCTTTCCTGCCTTTTAAATCAGACAGGAGGGGGAAATAACCTTGAAGAAATGGCCAAGCTTTTGAGAAACAGGGATAGATTTATCCAACCCTTAGAGAAAAAATAAAATGTCAGCATTGTAAAAAGTGGCCTTTGATGCTAGACATTTAGCAGAGGGTGGTGTTGCTCACTAATGTCGTTTGATTTGGAATAAAAGCATGAAAATGATGTGCAAGGGCCTAAAATTGGAGAGGTAAAGGATGAGTGCACCGTATTCCATTTCTCAATTTCATCCTTCAGAACCACAAAATAGGGGGTTATACAGTTACTGGATGAGATTTACGGTAACAGCTGTGGTCCTCCCACACAAGGGAGGACCTTCTAATGGGGTAAGGTCTGTTTTGAACAGACGGGGAGTTACAAAACAAGGTTCCCTATTAAGGATGAGCTCTAATATTCCTGGATAAGGAACATGAGAGCAATTGTCAGAGTGCCTTTAAGAAACCCTAAACACCACATTTTGCTGCTTTGGCCACACACTTACTCAGTCATTAAACCTGGATATATTTTAGAAAGTGCAAACTGTTCATAAATGACAGGATGCAAATGCGAGAGAATTTTCCTCCCTACAACCCTCTAGCCACTGTAAAGAATGTACAGGAAACTGTGCCAGTGGCATATGGCTTTCTACTGTGCTAAACATTCATACAAAAGACAGGTTCATCAGTCACCGGCGTATCTGGGTAAAAGGGAAAAAAAAAGCTTCTGATGGATGTTATTTAGAGCTTACCTGCTGCTAATACATTACCGGGGCTAGAAACCCTCATGACATTGGAATGACAGACCATGAAATACAGCACGCACAGAACATACCATGTTTGCCAGCTTATCCAAAAT